TGTTCAGATACTTCAATTTCACCGCCATAGTGTGTAATATAATCTCATTATTTTATCACCAGTCCTGCACAGCATAGGCGGCCAGTAGATCTGCATCATACTACAGGTAATACCATTACCCTGTTATTCCTTTTAACGCCACTAGCATTTGTAATATTACGTCTACTAGAAACTGAGCATCACAGGAGCATAGAGAGAGGATATAGAAACATGAAAACGTTTTCGTGAAGGAGCATGGTAAGACAAATGCTATACCACTGTGCATAGGCTTGCAGTAATCGAAAATATAAAAGGCTGCCACAGAGCGGCGGACATGATCAAGGAAAGGAAGCAAAGCATTTGATTCCAATTTACCTTTGAAGTTGATAGGAATAAGATTGTTAAGGCACTGAGAAAGGGTTGGAAGAGACTCGTGTCATGCGGTCAAGGAGCAAGGACTTAAGCGAAGCCAGAGAGATGGACGTACCTCAGTCGTGTTTAGTAAGATAATTTGAAAGTACAGGCGATAGAGATGAAACCATAGCAACACCAAAGTACAGGGATAAAGATGAAACCATAGCAACACCAAAGTACAGGGGATAAAGATGAAACCATAGCAACACCAAAGTACAAGCGATAGAGATGAAACCATAGCAACACCAAAGTACAAGCGATAGAGATGAAACCATAGCAACACCAAAGGTTCGAAATAAAAATTGACCATGAAAGGAAAAAGAAATGGAGTTCACACAAAGGCGAATAAGATCAAAAAGTGTAACCACTAAGGGTGACATGGTAGACAGAGAAGCAGCAGCAAGCAGAACAGGTCTGTATTCTGATAAAGGTTTCGTTTAGTGTACAGTTTTAATTAAATCACGATTTAATAAACCCCTACGCTGGGCGAAACGTTGTCAGAATAAAGACTTTCTCCTTATTTCATCTCTCCTTAAAATAAATGTCGGCTCTATTTGCCAGTTAAACTAACGTGACCCGAAAAATGAAAACAGATCCAGGACTTCCTTTTGCAACTCCTAAAGCGTTACAATTTTTGCACTTCTCCAGCACATCTCCAACAAATGTGATTTACACAAAGCCAGCAGAGCTTTAATTATTAAACTAACAAACACGACACAGCCCATAACATCCCTCTGCAGAATGGGCAAATGCAAATGGGAGTGCATTTGGAAAATTGAATCATATATGAAAAAAATAACCGTGTGCCTTTGCTCTGAAAAAGATTTTTGATTAAATATCTTCTACGAGTTTAGTTTAATCGAGCAAAGGCGAGCAGGAGGAAGATTCTATTACCCATTTTTTGCTAACCTGAGAAAGATAGAGGCAGAGAGATATTATGTTACCCCTCGTGTCTGGCTGAGAAAGATAAACGACAGTAAGATTTCTTATTGAAACTGGAAAAAAACGAGAGTTATTGCTGAGCAGAGCTTCGTAACAGACGATATTTTGTTCTGTAATCTAGACACGCACAACCGTATATATATAATATATATATATATATATATATATATATATATATATATATATATATATATAATATATAATATATTATATATATATAATATATACAAACATACATATACATATATATATATATATAATATAATATATATATAATATTATATATTATATATATATATATATATAATATATATGTATATATATATATATGTCGTGCCGAATAGGCAGAACTTGCTATCTTGGCTTAAATAGCAACGCTCATCTTGCCATATAGGACAAGTGAAAATTTGTGTATGCAATAATTTCGCCAAAATCATTCTGAACCTAACGAAAAAAATATATTTCACTGTGTTTGTTTAATATTAAATTATTGTAAACAAATCTAAAATATATTTAGTTGGGTTAGGCTAAAATAAATTGCTCTTGTTATAATAAGGTTAGGTAAGTTTTCTAAGATTCTTTTGGGGCAAAATTAAAAATTTTTACATTAACATTAATGAAAAAAATATATCTTTGAACGTATAAGAGAAAATTTTAGAAAGGACTTAATTTTAAATGAGTTCTTGCTAATTGACCAGTTTTACATATTCGGCACGACTAATATATATAATATATATATATATATATATAATATATATATATATATATATATATATATATATATATATATATATATATATGACTCAGCCTACAGAGACAAAGACGGGAAAAGTTGTACTTAATATTCTGATCTGGGTCTGAAAAGGTCTTTAAACCAAGGTCGAAATCTACCGAACCACTTTCTTCCTGCTTATATTTCCACGTGATCTGAATACATACTTACCATACACTACATAACACTACATATTCTTTACTTGCAAAAGCTTACTACAGGAAGATTTTCCTCTCTTGGAAATTTGTGTGTGTTGTAAACTTATTCCAATTACTTTTATATTATTTATAGGGAAACGATAGACCCGTGGGTGCCACCAAGCTCCAGCGATGTACCTAGAGCTTTACCGGAACTTTGGCATCTGTTATTCTAACTTTCACGGAAAATGAACCAATTTGACTTGATGTGTAATATGCGAAAAGTCGGCAGATCTGAAATCAGCATCCACATCTCTCACAACCTGTTCATCACTGGACAAGAAACACTCTTGGACTAAAATGATCTCTGCTGAAATACTAGAAAAACCACACATGAGATGGCAGCAGCCATTTATAAAAGTCCCACGGCACGTCTCACGCAGATACCTCACCGCTTTTACAAGGTGAGAATTCATGACGTTCCTGGCAGAAAAAAATGTCTTTAATGCCATGACCCGCATATTGTATCTTATTAACAGTAAGAGCATTTCTCGATGATCTGCCTCCCAGGTTTATTGGATGAACACCTTAAGAATATCCATCACCCGCAGAGCATCCATTTTGAAAGTATGTATATTAGGCTCAAGTTTGGTGACGATCAAAGACCATCCTCAGAAATGCCATTTGCTCCTCAGAAGGACCACAACATGTAGTAGCATATGTGAAGTGAGGACGCTGTCGAGCCCGGGATTGGGTAAAATAAACAGCCACTGTCTTTTTCGTGGTAAACAGGTAGGCGTTAGAAGCAGCCCACTCCGTCAAGATTTTCACTAAGTCTGTGACACGCCACCCCAAACACCGTGCAAGATCGTCCATATAAAATGAGGCCTTGATACTGACCACATCAATAGTTATAAAACCTGTGATGCTCAAAATAATGCTTTAAGAGATCCCCAACTCTTTAATATGGGCCCTAATGTCCCATCAGTTCCACTGCACGAGAGAATACAGTGAGCCAAAGAAGGGCTAGCGAAAAAAAAAATACCACTGGCGGGGATAGAACCCGCGATCAGAGTGTCTCAACACTCCAAGGGCTAGCGAACAGCGTCCCTGATAACTACCATGATGGTAATAACAGAGACGGCTCATTTTACGTTCAAGGCCTGGCCCTCGATAGCAGATTTAGTCTGAAAAAAGTCAGTTATCCAAAGGCCCTAAACGGCTGAAAAGGGGCAAGTCCTCTGGTGAACAGTCCATCTTTTTCCTCAGAGAATGGGGCCTCTTTAGAGTTCTGGGAATTAGACCCCATCAAGAGGATGTTAAACTTTCTCTATGAGGAAGCATCTGAATTAGGACAACCAATGTACCATCTCAGCTAGAGACAAAACATTGGCTCACTCCAGATGTTTTAAATTTGGGGTGCGCCAGTTCTTAGTCCCTAGCTTTGGGACTAAGAAAGACCCAACCCCTGGGAAGGTGAAGCATCCAACACAGCTCCGGCTAGAGGCAGAGGTCCAGCGCTCCTGGATGTGCTTCAAGTTCTCCTCGTTGCCTGAAGACTCATAAGTAACCTTGGACATAACGACTGAGCCACAAAATGACTGACCACCAACCTTGAGTCATGAACTCTCGTTGGAGAAAAATGAATCCAGTACCCTTGACTAGCCATCCAAAAGGAGTTAGTCCCAGTAGGCTGCAGCAGAGGAAATCTTTTTACATGGGTAGGGGATGGGATATATTACTAGAAAGCAGAGTGCTCCTCCCTTCTACCTCTATCCTTGAATTTTTAAGTAATATGACTAAAATATTAAGTTTCCAAATATTTCGAAAAATAGTGACGGGATTACGTATTACCGAAATTCACAATGTTCCAGCAATAAACATTCTATCAAATTGCTTTTAGTCTTCCTCACCTGCTAAAATTACGATTCTTCATGAAATATTCTGTCTTATCGATCATAAGTGTGATCAAATTCAGACGAAAGGAGAAACAGCCCCATGATTTATGCCGAAAGAGATATTGCCTTCCTTGACAAGCACCCTGTACGATGACTGCCCCCCCCCCCCGGGTAAGTCTTCCCTTACCCACAGTCACAAACCATAAACCAACTGTACAACTATATGTAACTGTTTCCTGAAGTATGGACCTAATTAGCACAATAAATTTAATACTTTTCTATCATTTTGAATAGGACACGTTATAAAAAAAAACATTTTAGCCTAATTACAGTTAAAACAATATGGAATTGTTATTACTCACCAAACTGCTACTACAGAATTATTTTCTGATATTTAATAACCAGGCAATCATAAAAAACCTGCCACCAGCTATAACCCTCCAGCCCCTCGGTACGGCAAGGTTGATTTTCTCTACATTATTTCTGGATCCGCCACTGGGAAAAACATCCCCTTTTATCCTCAGGTGGAAAGCTAGTATGCACCCCTTAACCTAAACAGTGGATTGAACCTCTCGTGTTTTGGCCATGGCCAAAACACGGGAGGTTCAATGTCCACTTCCAGAGAGGAATCAGGAAATTAAAACAACATCCACCAAGGTGCATGAGGCTATCCGTAATACGAAATGGAATATATCGTTTTCTTATACATGGAAGTATGGAACGAGGCTATCTGTAACGATGTAAGGGATATACCATACTGTTATACACTGATTAACGACTATTTCTTATATTTCTCATTGAGAAAATTCGTATACGGTGAAAAACGATGTCGGTTACAACTGATGAAAAATAACTTACCTTAGTGATGATGTTTCAGGTGTATTCCAGGCTTCAACACTCACTCACCTGCAAGGTAAATACTTGTGAATAAAGGGTTTGGAAAACCGACAACTCAATTAATGAGACACTTTCGCAACATTTAAGTACCTATTTTCGAAACGTTTAGCCAACCAGTATATTCTTCAGTCCAATGCAGAAAAAGTGAAGGATGAGGAGGAGTTCTAGTTAATCAGTCCCTCAGCCTGGAGTCGATGGATGGACTGAACGCATCGACTCCAGGCTAAGGGACTGATTACCTCACACTCCTCATCTTTCATCTTTCTCTGCATTGGACTGAAGAAACCATAGTCCCAGTTGTATCCTTGAGCTCGAGCTTTCCATAAGTATCCATATTTTTACCTTCAATTAGCATCTCCTTTAAGTATCCCCAATAAAACCCTTCATCCTGTTACTTCAGGAAGTATCCCCAGTAATACACCTCAGTCGAACGTTCGTTAAGTATTCACAAAAATGCTTTCCCTAAGTATTCTCGGTAATACTCTTCACTCGCTCCTATTGTAAGTATCCCTGGTTATACCCTTCACTAGTACATTTTAAATGTATCCCCAGTTATACCTTTTATCCTGTATTTCATGCAAGTATCTCTGCCAATAAGCTTGAACTTGTACTTTCAGAAGGTATAACTATTCCCTCTACCTTCATCTTCTAAAAATATCCCTTGTTACATTCATCAACCAGCATACTCTCTAAGTATCCCTGGGTATACCATTCACTTACACATTCTGTATCCCTATCATCTCCAGTGGGTATAATTTATGTCATTCAGAAATATAATTATTATAAACCTTTTTGATATACCATTTAAAAAAATTCTTACAGCACAATGGTACTAAGATTATCATTATGGTACAATCATGGTACAGTGGTACTGAGATCATTATCACGGTACAATCATGGTACAGTGGCAGTAAGATCATTATCACGGTACAATCATGGTACAGTGGCACTGAGATCATTATCACGGTACAATCATGGTACAGTGGCTACATGAGATCCAAATCATATCACGGTACAATCATGGTACAGTGGCAGTAAGATCATTATCACGGTACAATCATGGTACAGTGGCACTGAGATCATTATCACGGTACAATCATGGTACAGTGGCATTAAGATCACGGTACAATCATGGTACAGTGGCACTGAGATCATTATCACGGTACAATCATGGTAGCAGTGGCACGAGATCATTATCACGGTACATCATGGTACAGTGGCAAGATCATTATCACGGTACAATCATGGTACAGTGGCACGAGGATCACGGTACAATCATGGTACAGTGGCACTGAGATCATTATCACGGTACAATCATGGTACAGTGGTCACTGAGATCACTATCATGGTACTACAATCATAGGTACAACATGTGACAGTAAGATCATTATCACGGTACAATCATGGTACAGTGGCACCGAGATCATTATCACGGTACAATCATGGTACAGTGGCACTGAGATCATTATCACGGTACAATCATGGTACAGTGGCACTGAGATCATTATCACGGTACAATCATGGTACAGTGGCACAGATCATTATCACGGTACAATCATGGTACAGTGGCAGAGATCATTATCACGGTACAATCATGGTACAGTGGCAGTAAGATCATTATCACGGTACAATCATGGTACAGTGGCACTGAGATTATCACGGTACAATCATGGTACAGTGGCACTGAGATTATTATCACGGTACAATCATGGTACAGTGGCACTGAGATCATTATCACGGTACAATCATGGTACAGTGGCAGTAAGATCATTATCACGGTACAATCATGGTACAGTGGCACAGATCATTATCACGGTACAATCATGGTACAGTGGCAGAGATCATTATCACGGTACAATCATGGTACAGTGGCACAAGATCATTATCACGGTACAATCATGGTACAGTGGCAGTAAGATCATTATCACGGTACAATGATGGTACAGTGGCAGTAGATCATTATCACGGTACAATCATGGTACAGTGCACAGAGTCATTATCACGGTACAATCATGGTACAGTGGAGTCTACAAGCGTAAGATCATTATCACGGTACAATCATGGTACAGTGGCACTGAGATTAGCACGGTACAATCATGGTGCAGCGGCACAGATCATTATCACGGTACAATCATGGTACAGTGGCAGTAAGATCATTATCACGGTACAATTCATAGGTACATGGTACTGGATGATCATTATCACGGTACAATCATGGTACAGTGGCACAGATCATTATCACGGTACAATCATGGTACAGTGGCACAGATCATTATCACGGTACAATCATGGTACAGTGGCACAGATCATTATCACGGTACAATCATGGTACAGTGGCAGGAAGATCACGGTACAATCATGGTACACTGGCACAGATCATTATCACGGTACAATCATGGTACAGTGGCACTGAGATTATCACGGTACAATCATGGTACAGTGGCAGTAAGATCACGGTACAATCATGGTACAGTGGCAGTAAGATCACGGTACAATCATGGTACAGTGGCACTGAGATCATTATCACGGTACAATCATGGTACAGTGGCACAGATCACGGTACAATCATGGTACAGTGGCACAGATCACGGTACAATCATGGTACTGTGGCAGTAAGATCATTATCACGGTACAATCATGGTACAGTGGTACTGAGATCATTATCATGGTACAGTGACAGTAAGATCATTATTACGGTACAATCATGGTACAGTGGCACTAAGATCATTATCACGGTACAATCATGGTACAGTGGCACCAAGATCATTATCACGGTACAATCATGGTACAGTGGCAGTAAGATCATTATCACGGTACAATCATAGTACAGTGGCACTGAGATTATCACGGTACAATCATGGCACAGTGGCACTGAGATTATCACGGTACAATCATGGTACAGTGGCACAGATTCATTATCACGGTACAATCATGGAACAGTGGCACTGAGATCATTATCACGGTACAATCATGGTACAGTGGCACTGAGATCATTATCACGGTACAATCATGGTACAGTGGCACTGAAGATCATTATCACGGTACAATCATGGTACAGTGGCACAAATCATTATCACGGTACAATCATGGTACAGTGGCAGTAAGATCATTATCACGGTACAATCATGGTACAGTGGCACTGAGATCATTATCACGGTACAATCATGGTACAGTGGCACTGAGATCATTATCACGGTACAATCATGGTACAGTGGCACTGAGATCATTATCACGGTACAATCATGGTACAGTGGCACTGAGATTATCACGGTACAATCATGGTACAGTGGCACAGATCATTATCACGGTACAATCATGGTACAGTGGCACAAATCATCACGGTACAATCAGTGGCACTAAGATCACTATCACCTTCCAACTGTGCCTAATAACACTCACCTTTCACGACGTTGGATGATGATATGCAAAGTTACGAACATTTGTCAATATTTCTAATCACTTTACGAACATTATAAAGTCCTGAACAGTTACGAACACATTTAACGACCTTGTTCGATATGCTGATTAGCACTTGTTATCTGCACACTCATTTTAGCACTGGATACTAGCACGTAAGAGTATTTTTCACGCTAATACTTTCCACACGAACACTTGCCTTATTAAAACGTTTAACTAGCGTCAACGTGCATGGTTTTTTACACCAGATTTATTCTTGCTTGACACCTGTATAAGTAGGTTCAAAGCTTGTCTACACTAGGGTCATTATGGATGTGTGTCTCCCTTACACAACCAAAGATAATTTATATAAACTGGGAAGTGAAGTCAATTTCCAGTGTATACACATTGAGCTATACGCGTCTGTTTATACAGAGATACACACCCCATATATACACAAATGTACACCATTCGGAGCACAAACATTGAAAGATTAAACATCTATCTAAGAATACACACACATTTCGGTGTATGAATAATGAGATATACAAGCCTATCGATGCGTATACACTCCGATATATACATACACGTCTATGAGTATATCACCATCGTTGTTATTATACAGAGGAGAGGTGTGACGAGCAGCGTACAGCAGCTGGGTTGAGTGACACAGTGAGGGTGAGGACCTAGGACAAGTACTGTTTCGGAGCTTCATTGAACCTTAGATTGAGTCGAGAGACTTAGATTCCTCGACAGTTTTCGGTGATTATGAGGATTAATTCCGCCTTGTGAGGCTTGCCGTCCATGTATTTATTCAGCATGGCTTCAGTAAACTATGCTGCGTTAGGTATGCCCGATGGGTTTGCGGTTTATTGATGATTTATACATTAAAACGTTTAGGCTCCTGGACCTCGATCGCTTCTTACGTGTTACGAGTAATAAACTCCCAGGACTGAAACGTTTCCCCCAAAAATACAGGTTTATCCCAATGTTTACTCACGTGTCTTACTTAAACCACATGTCGGTATGTATTATCAGAGTTTATTCTATTGTTTTAGATTCGGTTTAGTTATTATTTCTGCCTCGGATAATTTTTTTCAATTTATTATCAGCTTTTGTATAAGTAATAATCTGTAAATTTGTAAATTAGTTCTTTATGTTTCACAACTAATTTTACGTTTTTTGTTTGTTTAGTGATAAAATAGTCTTAATATTGCAAGGTCACGAGAGGTCGTGTTCTGTCCTGGAGTATACCTGGAGTGTACCTGGAGGTAACTGGAGTGTACCTGGAGTGTACCGAGTTACAGGTTTACTATTGTTAGAGTGTTAGATTACCTGATAATTACTAGAGTGTACCTTGATGTGTAACTGAGTGTACTGAGTTACCTAGAGTTTTTACCTAGATGTTACCTTTTGGGTTGTACCTGTGAGTGTACATGTGGTGTAACTAGTAGTGTACAGAGTGTACTGGTGTACCTGGAGTGTACCTGGAGTGTACCTGGAGTGTACCTGGAGTGTACCTGGAGTGTACCTAGAGTGTACCTAGAGTGTACCTGGAGTGTACCTGGAGTGTACCTGGAGTGTACCTGAGTGTACCTAGAGTGTACCTGGAGTGTACCTAGAGTGTACCTAGAGTGTACCTGGAGTGTACCTGGTGTGTACCTGAGTGTACCTGGAGTGTACCTGGAGTGTACCTGGAGTGTACCTGGAGTGTACCTGGAGTGTACCTGGAGTGTACCTGGTGTGTACCTGGTGTTGTACCTGTGTGTACTGAGTGTACCTAGAGTGTACCTGGAGTGTACCTGGTGTGTACCTTGAGTGTACCTGGAGTGTACCTGGAGTATACCTGGAGTGTACCTGGAGTGTACCTGGTGTGTACCTGGAGTATACCTGGAGTGTACCTGGAGTATACCTGGAGTGTACCTGGAGTATACCTGGAGTGTACCTGGTGTGTACCTGGAGTATACCTGGAGTGTACCTGGAGTATACCTGGAGTGTACCTGGAGTGTACCTGGAGTGTACCTGGTGTGTACCTGGAGTGTACCTGGAGTGTACCTGGAGTGTACCTGGTGTGTACCTGGAGTGTACCTGGAGTGTACCTGGAGTGTACCTGGAGTGTACCTGGTGTGTACCTGGAGTATACCTGGAGTGTACCTGGAGTATACCTGGAGTGTACCTGGAGTGTACCTGGAGTGTACCTAGAGTATACCTGGAGTATACCTGGAGTGTACCTGGAGTGTACCTGGTGTGTACCTGGAGTACACCTGGAGTATACCTGGAGTATACCTGGAGTGTACCTGGAGTATACCTGGAGTATACCTGGAGTATACCTGGAGTGTACCTGGAGTGTACCTGGAGTATACCTGGAGTGTACCTGGAGCGTACCTGGAGTATACCTGGAGTGTACCTGGAGCATACTGGAGTATACCTGGAGTATACCTGGAGTGTACCTGGAGCATACCTGGAGTGTACCTGGAGTGTACCTGGAGTGTACCTGGAGTGTACCTGGAGTGTACCTGGAGTGTACCTGGAGCATACCTGGAGTGTACCTGGAGTGTACCTGGAGTATACCTGGAGCATACCTGGAGTGTACCTGGAATGTACCTGGAGTGTACCTGGAGCATACCTGGAGTGTACCTGGAGTGTACCTGGAGTGTACCTGGAGTATACCTGGAGTGTACCTGGAGTGTACCTGGAGTATACCTGGAGTGTACCTGGAGTGTACCTGGAGTGTACGAACTGTGGTTCGTACGTCGGTCTGCGTGCGGCCAGCAGTAACAGGCTGGTTGATCAGACCCTGATCCACCTGGAGCCCCGGTCACAGGCCGGGTTGCAGGGGGGGCGTTGATCCCCACAACTCTCTCCAGGTATTGCAGAAGGTGTACCCGAATCGAAAGCCGTTGGATTCGGTTTATCCCGACCTTTAGTCTTACTCATTCCGCACAAACAGGTCAACGGAAGGGTGGGTAGGTCTCCGATGCTGTCCCAATTTTGCAATTCATCCCACTGTTTGCAGTTCTTCCCACTGTTTGCAGTTCTTTCCACTGTTTGCAGTTTTTCCCACTGTTTGCAGTTTTTCCCACTGTTTGCAGTTCTTCCCACTGTTTGCAGTTTTTCCCACTGTTTGCAGTTCTTCCCACTGTTTGCAGTTTCTCCCACTGTTTGCAGTTCTTCCCTCTGTTTGCAGTTTTTCCCACTGTTTGCAGTTCTTCCCACTGTTTACATTATTATAATCAAAAAGAAGCGCTAAGTCACAAGGGCTATACAGCGCTGCAGGGTAGGGAAGGAAGCGAGGGTATTGGGCAGCAGAAGGGATCAGCAGGTTACAGAAAACAGCGGGGCAGGGGATAGTACGGGGGTAGGGGGTAGCAAGAGATTGAAGTAGAAAGGGCTGAAAGTATCAGAATTTGTGAAGTAAGTCAGTTGTTGTCAAAAAGTCAATGAGAGAGTCCGGATGAAAGGCGGGTCCATCAGCGAGAAGGGAAGGTAAAGAGAGAGCAGTGGAGCGAAGACGACGTTGGAGGTATATTCTGCGTGCTCGTTGATAAAGTGGGCAGTCTAATACAATGTGGCTGACCGATAATGGAACCTGACAATTCTCACAGAGAGGAGCAGGGCACCTCTCCATGAGATATTCATGAGTAAGACGAGTATGGCCAATGCAAAGACGGGAGAGAGTAGTCTCCCAATCTCGACACTGGTGACAAGAAGACGGCCAGTAACCTATACTCGGTTTAATAGATTGAAGTTTGTTACTGAGCAGAGTAGACCAACGTTGTTGCCAACGGGTGTGAAGGTGGGTAGCTATTGCAGCAAAATAGTCCGTAAATGGAATACCTCTATATGAAACTGGTAGGTCATGTACTGCTGACCGCGCAGCAGTGTATGCCTGTTCATTGCCCTGTACGTCAACATGACCAGGGACCCAACAAAAAACAATATCTTTATGCTTGGTCGAGATGCGGCGTAGCCAAAGTTGGATACGGAGGACTAAGGGGTGAGGTGTATCAAATTTCTGTATAGCCTGTAAAGCACTAAGGGAGTCTGAGACAACCACAAATGATGACAGGCATAGATGCAATACGGATAAGTGCTGCAAGAATGGCATACAATTCAGCAGCAAAAATACTAGCCGAAGATAGTAAATGCCCTCTTACGACGCTGTCCGAAACACTGCTGTGAATCCTACGCCGTCAGAAGACTTAGAGCCATCTGTGTACACTGCGATGGCATGAGAATGAGAGTGGAAGTGGTCAAGAAAAAGAGAGCGGGAAGCTACCGTAGACAATTGGGCTTTCGAGCAAGGGAGTGAGAAAAAACAAACTCGAACAGCTGGAACTTCCCAGGGGGTAGGGAAAAGTGAGATGCTAGATGAACATAGAAAAGTGGTAATTGAAGAAAAGACAAGAGCGAATGCAGGCGAAGAGAGAAGGGACGGAGCAAACAGGGGCGGCGAACAAATAAAGAATGTCTACTAATATCGGTGACCATTCTATAAATGGAAGGATTGCGGAGATCATGAGAGCGTACATAGTAGCGAAGGCAATGGGCATCACGGCGATCGGATAGGGATGGAACGTTCGCTTCTGCATAGAGCCTCTCAGCAGGGGAAGAGCGAAAAGCACCAAGGCATAAACGTAATCCTTGGTGATGAATGGGGTTAAGGCTAGAGAGGGTAGCAGGAGAGGCCGCTGAATAGATCTGGTCACCATAATCAAGTTTCGATAAAATGAGGGTGGAACGTAGGCGAAGGAGAGTTCGACGATTAGCTCCCCATGAAAGATGAGCAAGGGTTTTAAGAAGGTTCAGTCGGCTGTGACAAATTGCCTTCAGAGAGGTAATGTGAGGTTTCCAGGATAACCTACGGTCAAAGAGGAGGCCTAGAGACCTGGCTGTATCACGTTCAGGGATACGGGAGCCATAGAGGTACAAAGGATGATCGGAGATGACAGAGCGTCTAGTGAAAGTAATTTGGTGAGTTTTGGTGCTGGTGTGGTGGCCCAATTGGAAACACGGTCGACCGCATGCTGGAGAGAAACTGTAATAGGTGACAGCGCCTGCACAGGCAATAGCGAAGTCATCAACATAGAGTGATGACCAAATATTGGCTGGAAAACTAGAGGCCAAATCATATATAGCAAGGAGAAAAAGTGTTGTGCTCAGAACACATCCCTGGGGGACACCTTCAGCTTGGATAAAGTCCGGGGAGAGCACATTATTAACCCGAACACGGAAATGTCTGCCAGTTAAAAAGTTCTTAAGGAAGGATGGTAGATTGCCTCGGAGGCCTAAGAAGTGGGCTTGGTCCAAAATATTATACCTCCAAGTTGTATCATATGCCTTCTCAAGGTCAAAAAAGATGGCAATAACTGAGTGGTTATTCGCAAAAGCATTACGAACATACGTATCCAAGAGTAGTAAGGGGTTTATGGTAGAACGGCCCTTACAAAAGCCATATTGACGAGTGGAGAGACTGTTGTGTGTCTCTAAATACCACACTAAACGTCTGTTTACCAGGCGTTCCATCACTTTGCAAACTGCATTGGTAAGAGCACTGGGACAATAGTGGGAGGCTTCATGTCCCGTAGTACCCAGTTTGCGGAAAGGGAGAACAATGGCAGATTTCCACAGCTGTGGAAGAACTCCTTGTGACCAAATAAGATTGA